AGCAGACACTCCACAGTGTGCCATGTTGCTAAGCTATAGTGTTGGATAGGTGAGGTGTATTAAATGCATTTTTCACTTAAGGTATTTCCAACTGAAGATGGGTTTATCGGGCTATCACTTCATTATTGAGGAGCATCTGCATGCTCTCAATAGCATCAAGGAAACCTTTGCCTCTTACAAATTTCCACGCCAAGTTATAGACAATTCTGCTTCTGATTTTTCCTGTCAAGTACTACAAAGAAGACTGCAGGGTTGTGCTGACCAGATTCCTGTCTCCAACCTCAGTTGATCCTCTTCAACTCAAGGGGATCAGGACTGAATTCTTTACTGTCTTCCCCAGGCCCGTTCCTTCTCATGCACTCTATTTACTTAATGCTTCCATATCCACCCAGTAGCCAACCTCCACACTGATTCCCAACTCCTAATACAAGCTCATTCATGCTTCCTTCTCATCTGACTAGCTTCACTGACTATATTTTCTATACTTCTAATTCATCTCCAGTTCTTCCCTACCGACATCACTGAGGCTGTGTGGTCATCCCCGTCCCACCTCTTTTAGTCACTATAACGTCTTCCTATGGAGTTCATGCCCCTGTCTCTTCCTATCCTTAGTAATGCTTATATTTTCACCTGCTATCTTTTTCAAAGATGGCTTTAATCACCTCCTTCCTATGAATCTTTGATGAAACCCTCAAATCTAAATTCTTAGCAAAGCATCAAGTCTGGACTCTAGGCCTTAGCTGTTCAATATGGTAGCCATTAGCCCTCCGTAACTATTTAAGTTTATTAAAATTAAATTTTAAAAAATTCAGTTCCTCAGTCACATTAGCCATATCTCAAATGCTCAACAGCCATATGCATTCAACCCATCTACAGTTGTCACATTTTAGAAACCTTCTCAAGGCCTCAAAATATGTAAAACGAGGACCCCACTGAGCTCCTCTATTTCTAGCCTGGTCCTTCTCTCATTGCACTCTCGTTATTTACGGGGATGCCTCTTCCACTCCTCCGTCCCTCAAGGAAAGTGAGGAGCTGAATCTAAGTCATTTTTGTCTCCTAGGACTTTATAGCGATTGATTCATGGGGACATCCATTTATTCCCCTTTCTTTCCCTTAAGAGTTACCTTTACTAGAAGGAAGCAGAAATAAGGTATAAGATGCTCTTTTCACATTTTGATATAAATGAAGAATGAGAAACTCCATCACGTGCCCTGTCTTTTCAGGTATGGACTCCAGTGGCTCCTGAGAATGGACTCTTCCGTTGCTACCCTCCCTCCCAAGAGCAGACTGAGTTCTTATCTTTTAGAACCACAGGGAAATAATCTGGCAAGAGCCACCGTTGTACCAGCTGATTTAAATTGAAATGTTTTCCCCAGATAAATGCGTGCTAAATAATACACCAGCTCTCCAGCCAAAGGGAAGTGACAGGCACTCTGTAAATAAAGGCACTTAGTTGCTGGTAAAGAGCTGTAAAGTGGTTCTGAGTTGATGTTTGCTGACCAGCAAGAAGTGGCTTCACCTGCTTTATATAATTGTCACTGCAGTTTTGCCTGCTGTATATTAAAACTGCATCTCATAGACCCAAATGTCACATCGGATATACCATCCAGCAAGGGGTATGCCGCCTTTTTCCGTAATTGTTTTTGACAACCAGCCATCACATCTCCTCTCTTTTCAGAAAGTGTCTGGTCCAGAATCCCTAGGCTGGGTCAGTTCTGACACCATGTGGGTTAGAAAAGTGACACCAAAAGAGAATATGAAAAGAAAAGCGAAGAGAAAAGAGAGACCTAATAACAAACAGTGGCAAATGCCTGGGCTTGGATCCCAATGGAGCCTCTACTTCCTCAATGTCAAGACACACTTTTTATGTTCAATTGCATCGTATTCAAAAAACCTGCCATGAGGTTGAAGGAATATTCTGACCCAAAAACACATTTGTCCCGAGTCCACAATTTTATCCTACTGGGTTCAGGAGAAACAGTAAACATAGCTCTTGGGACAAAGTTGAGGATAGGGTTTCATAGAAAACAAAATAATAAAAGTTGGGGTGGCAATGGTGAGAAATCTATGTAGTTATCCTCAAGGAGAGCTTGATTTGTTCCCGCAAATGAAAAGAGTAACATGGAATCCTTTCTGTTCTCTATAATTCCAACCCCCTTGGAGCTTGGCCATGCCAAATGCCCAGATGATGAAAAAAGTATCAGAAGCCAGTGGGTGCTCCTGTTAGTCAAAAGGGTCCCAAAGAGGAAGAGTGGCAAGGAGACCCAGCTTGTCCATCCAGCCCATGTGTTGAGAGGAAACCAGGGATCTGGGTGCTGGGCCAGTGATGAGAGTTGAGCACTGGGTCAGGGTGACTTCTCTGTGTTGACAGTCGCTACCAGACCTCGGCCTTTGAAAAGTCAAATAGTAACCAGAGGATACTGTTAAAAACCAAGGACAGGGGCAGACAGGGGCACAACACAAGGGGAAATGCCAGGTTGATGTCTGACAGCTTCAACATTGTATCCTGGAAAGCAGAACAGAGTGTGGGCTCCTAGGAGGCGTGTGCTCCACTCTACCAAGACCTGGAAGCCAGGCAAAGTATGGCAGGGCGTGGAACCCACCCTCTGCCTTCTTTCACTGTGCACATCTCAGTCCACTTATACCACAATACCAAACACCATACACTGGGAAGTTTACTGATTTCTCAGTTTTGGAGACTGGGAAGTCCATGATCAAAGCATCAGCAGATTTGGTGTCTGGTGAGAACCTACTTTCTGATTCATAAATGGCACCTTCTCACCGTGTCCTCACATGGTAGAAGGGTTGTGGAGCCTTTCTCTGACCTGTTTTGTAAAGGCACTAATTTCATGCACAAGGGCTCCATCCAAATGACCTACTCGCCTCCCAAAGGTTCCCCCCCTCCTTACACCATCACATTTCAACAAATTTTGAGGGCACACAAACCTTCAGCAGTGTGTGCATGTGCATACACAAAATAGTGAATTTTATTTTTTGGAGTAAGGCCTTTCTCCTTCCTCCATATCTCCTCTGCCTAAACCTATTTTTCTTGTTTATGTTAAAAAGAATAAACAAGGCTTTTGAGCATTGGAGAGGGGAAGCATTCTTACTGGTTTGGCTATTATATGGGATTTGAGAGGTGGGCAATTGTTTAAGAGAGCTTGGAGGAATGCCTATGTCAGATGCATATGTAACTAAATTATACACTGAGATTCTCATCCCTGGACCTTGAAAATCATGATGACTGCACTGGGAGCACCCAGGCATGCTGGGGAAAGGGATGTTTTCCAGCCCATCCCTGCTTCCTCTGTTTCCACCCAAAGGGACAATTGCTGCTTCCACTTCTTTCCATTCCTTCTGTTGGTTCCTCTCTGGGAGAGGGGGCAAGTCAGAGAGGGATGTCAGCATGTCATTGCACCAGGTTTGTTAGCAGGGAGATTTGCTGTGCTTTAGAGCAGCACATGAGTCTCTTGGGGCATCTTATTAGAATGCAGATTCCAACAGGCAGGTCTGATGTAGGCCATGAGATTGTGATTCTTCAACAAGCTCCCCCAGTTGGTATTATATCAGGAGAATAGAAGAAAATTAGATGTTGATAAAATTGTTAGAAGGCCAGAGAAACCAAAGTCAAAGAGGCCACCATGTGAACTTGGCAACACCAAAATGGAAGCTTCCTCTGAGCTTGACCAGAAGCTGCTGTGAATCTCAAGACCCTCAGGCAAATCCCCCCACCTCTTCCCTCAACCTCTGGCCACAAAGATATTGGTTCTCAGGAAGCTCCCCTGAGAACTGTGTTGAATCCCTCAAGTCTGTTCAAGTTCTGGCAAAACCAAGTCCTCTCTTTCTCTTTCTCTTTCAAAATCTCACTCCAGGGCGCTTCTTTCACTGATGCTTTCATAGAATCAGTAAAAGGAAGGAGATCTGCAGAGAATAGGTTTCCAGGAACTGTTTTTCCTGGTCTTGCTGCAATGGTGACCAGATGTTAGATGGAGGTGGTGATACCAGTTGACAAAATATAATGGAGCACACAGGTCTAGGATGCATGATCAAGCTGAGTTTTCACAAACTCCTGCATGAGGAGCTCTACCCAGCTATCTATAGGGTGGCTCCTAGCCCAGGAGCTGTAGTTCTCATCAGCTTTGTTCCTTTAAATTTCCATCTTAGAATAATAAGATTCAGGCTCCCTATCAGGCAGCCAAAACCATCCATCCAGTAGGCACAGATAAAAACCATTCTATAGTTTACAGCAAGCCTGCACAGAAGACTCAACATGGAGGAAAATGCTTTCATGCCAACCTTCCAGATCCTGAGAATCACGATCATTTGTTATGGGGTTTTGGCTGTGCTGCCTCTCTGAGACTCCTAGATGACATCTTTACTTGTAACCACCTGCCCAGGATCCCAGAGCAAATGACAGGGAAGATTGGGGGCAGAGCAGAAGGCAGATGTATGTCATTCAAGGCTGCTGTGCCTCCTCCAGGAAAATGCATGGGCTGACATGTGTCATCTCTTGCTAAATGACTTTCAGTGCCTGTACAGTCCTCACTCTCCAGAGATCACTGTTCCTTGGTCCACAGAGTCTCAGATGCAGCCCTAACAATGTCAATGCTCAACACCCATCTCAGTTCAATGGTAAAAATATACACTGGGAGGAAGCCCTAGGAATGTGCAGCTGGCATCTTTTCAATGCTTGACATTTGGCCAGTGACCCTGGTCAGAAAGCCACTGTTTAGAAAGGCTGAAGGTGTGGCCATTGAAAGACTCATTTATTATCTAGGAAGGCAACCTAGTGTGCACAGGGGAGATCAGAGCTCCCGCCTGCATCCCAGGATGGCAAGAAGAGGCAGCAGCTGCCCCTTTGAAAGCCATCACTGTGACCACAGGTTTCACTGCCAGGCAGGCGGATGTGAGCCTCTTTGAATTACTGAATGAAGGATATCCCTCTTGCCAGCCCCTGTCCCCCGAAGGCACGGCAGAGAAGTATTACAGGCTGTCCTTACCTTGGGAATTAGCCTGCAAGACCCCGATGCTGTCATCAAACTGCATAGATTTGATGTTGAGTGACGCCAAGATGCATTCCTTGTCCTGCAGCGAAGTATCATCAATATTATTCTGATTGGCTGACAGGATAACGCACATGTCACAGAGGTTGATGTTGACAGCCCTTAAATCAGCCCGACTTAATGGCGTACCCTTTGGCATAGAGGAACGAAAAAGAGAGAGAAGCAAAAGTGAGACCAAGGGAGAAGAGGGAAGGAGGGAAAAAATAAAAACAAATTAAAGATTGAGCCAGAGCTTTGGGAAATTATTTAACAAGTATCTTTTTTATGCCCTGACATTAAGCTGGCCTAACTACATTTCTGGGAATAGGGGCTGTGTGCTAATCTAAAGGGTAGTCGGTGCTGATGGCAGCATTTCAGCCTGCCTCTCAATACTCAATCAAGCTATTACTAACAAATGCACGAGAGGAATAATGCCTGGGTCTACATCTTCTTCCTGTCTGGAAATTGTCTTGATTTAAGTAACTGTCCTGTGGCAACCTCTGGCTTTCAGAATGCAATGGTGGGGGGAATATATGGGGGGGGGGGTCAAATGCCTGTTTATTTAATAGCAGGTCACTTCTTTCTCAGGCTAAAGACAGCAGTTCTAACTAGAATTTTCAATGCAGCCAAAAGGAAATCTCAGTGAGATGGGTGTGATGAGGTGCTCTGCTCGACTGAAGCTCTGCTACGTACCGGAGGGAGTGGGATTAATGTGCATCTTGCAAAGGGGAGATAGAAGAGAGGAAGCCTGAGGTCATATAATTTTATTCTTTTTAGCAAGGAAAAAAACCCAGGAAATCACCTAATTATCCAACAACAGGAAAGGTTAAAAATAGTATTGGACATGTTTACCAAGGAAGAGTATGCAGCAAGTAAAGAGAGGGAGCTTGCTCTCCAGGTAGTGATCATTTTTTGGAAAAAAATCTCAAAGATGGAGGAGGAAGTGGGGGAAAAAAGTTCTAGAAGCATTCAAAAAGTGTAGCTTCATTTATGTAAAAAAAAAACCCTCCAAATAAAATTATATATTTATAAATACATTTATAAATATATATAAATTCAAAGAGAAAACTCAGGAAAAAATATACACAAACTAATAACAGTAATTACCTCTGGGGAGGGAAAAAGATGGAGGGGGTGAAAGAGAAAGTTTGCCTTTGACTTTATATACGTCTGTGTTGTTTGAATATTTTATAGCAAGAACATATTTGTATATTACTGGTATAATTAAAAATAAATAAGTCAGTAAACAGATTTTTAAAAAAGATCCCAGAATAACATAAGACAGTGGCGGGGGTGAGAAGGAACAGATCTAGAAGGTAAAGGTGGATTGGGTGGACTGGGGGGCAACCAAGGCAAAACAAAAAGGAGAGGGCCATGATCTCCACATGCTCTGTGTCCTCCAGAGGGACCACAGCAAAACTCACTGGGCCAGCCCATATCAGAGCTCCACAGCAGCCATGGAGCACCATTTTGGGGTTCCTATCCAGCTATCAGCCTTGTTGGTCTTCCAGACTGAGTCTAGAGTCTGCCTTGCCAACACGGAGACCCCAGTTGCCCTCAAATCACTGCCTGCATAGGGCAAGGGCTTGCCTCCTGCTGCATGTATCTGCAGATGTCTTTCTCTTGTCCCCCTTCCTAGAGAAGTGACCTTGAGAAGATAGAACCTGGCTGATGATTGGAACCCATCCTGCTCAGTGATGGTCATGGTTCTGTTCTCAGTCGCTCAATTATCACTGCAAAGTGGAAGCAGGGAGGACAGGCATTTAGTGTCCTGGGTGCTGGAAAGCTAGTGGTTCCAGGCACTGAAACTGAATCTTTTAAGAGAAGGAAAATGCCCTCTCCTATGATATCTTGGTGGAAAATAAGTCTTGCCGACTTCCTGTGTCCTTTTGCCAGTGCATAAACTTCAATTGCCTACATACATATTTTTTTAAATTTTCACCTTGTAGGGAATCCAGCAGTAATTGTGATATAAGACAATCCCTGGGCAGTTGTAGACATATGATTCCAAACCACAAGAAATACAAATCACATACACAGAAAACTTCTGTGTTTCTCTAAGCTGGCCCTATATGCAAGGTACTGTTTAAACAGTGTATGTATTTTAGTCCTCATTATGGTCAAGGTCCATTTTGTGCAAATCTACTTTGCTTGGAATACTAAATTTTATAGGGTTTGAAAAAGATTTGCAAATATGAGAGCTCATTCATGTGTCCAGAGGCAGGGGAGGAAATGTGTACAAGGGAACATACAGAAGGAAACACACATACCTAAAACATGCACACACAAATATAAAACATCACACACACATACACACACACACACACATCCCAGTAAAATAATAACCTTTTTACAAAGATACTCCTAGAGGTCAAGAGACCATGTGGAACAGAATGTGTATGATGATAATCATAGAAATATCATATCTAACATATTTCTGAAATTAGCCAAGTATATAAAGTATATGGTTATGTAGAATGTGTATGATGATAATCATAGAAATATCATATCTAACATATTTCTGAAATTAGCCAAGTATATAAAGTATATGGTTATGTTCCTCTAAGCCTGTGACTTTTTGTTTGTTTATAGTAGACTATCCTTAACTATGTTAGTGCACTAAGGCCATCAGTTTGGGGCTCTGCATCTAATATATGTTTACTGAAGACCTACTGTGCCAGATATTTTGTAAAATGACTAATGGCTTCTAAGGGGCACTTATTCTTCTACATAAGAATAAATATGTATTCTTACGTAGCACACATATATATATGTTCTACGTAAGAATAAATATGTATTCTTACGTGGCACACATATATATATGTACTACGTAAGAATACATACTTCTCATGTATTCTTTAATGAAATACATCACTGGATCCTTTCTCCCCACATTTCCGAGATTATGGAATCTCATAATAGAAATAATGGACTTTGGCTTCAAAAGTAGAGGAAAATATAGACCTCTTGACATGTAGAGAAATCCATGTTTCACAGGTTTAGAGATATAAACAGAAGAAAAACATTTGGAGGATAAATAATATTTTCATGAATTTGTGATGTGACAACAATTTCAAATTCTGGAAAGCAGACTACTCTATAATTTTTTGAAAGTTTGCAGAAAATATATTGATTAGCTTAGGAAGTAGTTATGTGACTCCTAAATCACATATCCCAGATCCTCACACTAAGTCATTTCTTGTAGATTAGGGTCCTAGTGTTTTGCAGTCAAGAATATCAAATGCAGCCAGGCCTAGTGGTGCAGGTCTACAATTCCAGCAACTCAGGAGGCTGAGGCAGGAGGAACTACAAGTTCCAGGCAGCCTCAGCAACTTAGTAAGATCTTGTCTCATAATACAAAAACAAATAAAAAGGATTGGGGATGTAGCACCATGGGTTCAATCATCAGAAAACAAAAACAAAAAACAAAGACTGTATCATGCATACATGTGCACACATACATACATACACACATGGCCATGAAAAACACTGCTGAGCTTCTGAACATATGGTGGATAGGGGCAGCCCAGGAAAGGGGTTGAACTTCTGTAGAATAGAAATAAAGAACTCAGTTATGTAGTCTGAAATAGAAGGAAGTATGATCAAGGTTTCTCTAAGCATTAAGTGAAAGGCCAAAATGTCATAAGTGAAATGACATAAATAATTATAAATAATTCTAAATTCTTACTGTAAATCACCATGTCTCAGCGCTCTGAGTTGTGTATAGTAGACAAGAGCAACAGAGTGTTTAGACACCTATACGGTTAACACACATGACACCAGCTAAACTTCATCCCTGATGAGGGACTGAACTTGGCTGCATATTCCTTTTAATAAGGTCTCCCAGGGTTTGGCTTTTCCTAGGCAGGGCATAGGGGAAGGGCTGCATCCTCAGGCCCATACCCAGATGAAGAAGCAGAGGCAGAATCAAAGCTACAACGATCACATCCATCTGGGATTTTCTTTTGTAAATAAAAAGAAGAAGGAAAAAAATCATCAATAATGCGATCTTGGACTTACAGGCAATATGGACACTTTGGGGAAGTTATGAAGCGTTTCCCATTCCCGCTTGAGGTACTCTATGGAGCCCACAAACACAATGTGCTTGAGCTCATGGTAATGAAAGTTGCTGGCACGGAGTGGCATCACCAGGTTCCGGAGGCCAATCAGGGCTGAGCTGACATCACCAAAGATGCAGACCACAACATGGCCACTCAGGACAGTCATGGCGGCTTCACTTCGAGTCTGCAAAAGTGTTGGAGAGAAGACTTCAGAGTATTGTTACAAGGAGAGAAAAAAAATCATTCATGCAAAGTGAACACTGGCTGTGTGCTTACTATGTGGTATTGCTTGGTTTGGGTGTGGTCCCAAGGGCCCACTGTGATGAAAGGCTTGGTCCTAGGTAGTGCTGTTGTGTGGGGGAACTTTGGAAGTTAGAGCCCAGCAAGTAGTTCTCAGGTGTGAGGTAGCTCAGGTATGATCCCATTGGGAGCTCTCATAGGGCCCTTGACTTCCCCTGAGATCAGTGTGAAAGCAGCAAGCCTAGCAATGTTCAGACTCTTTTACTCTACTCATGTTCCAGATGTAGTCATTGACTTACACTCTCACCATGAGGCACCACCACACAACACCCACCCTCACTAGAGACCAAATGGATGGGGCCACCCAATCTTGACACTGAATCTCCAAAACTGTGAGCTAAATGAACATTTTCTCTTTATAAGCTAGCTGTCTCAGGTATTTCCTTGTAGTAATGTCAAATTGACTAATACAGCCATTGGTTTTACTTCATCAAAGTCACATACATGTCATATATACATATATATAATTTGCATATTGTGTACATAATGTATTTATATAATAAATACATGTAAACATACACCCACACATATCACTATCCTCTTGAAGAAAAGATCTAAGATATGCCATACATAAATGTGAGCAGGAGATATTTTATAATGATCTTCAGGGAGGACATTAAGAAGGAAAAGAACTATTTATTATTTGGAAAGACAAGTCTTAGGTTCCTTGGAATTTTTGATATAATTAGATGCATTTTCAGGTTCTCTTGCTCAGATGATGGCAAAAATAGATATTTTTGTCAGTGTCAGCTAGAGAAATTTGAGTTTTGAGTTCTAGATTTATCAGTGAAGTGTCTTATATGGTCATAACAACTAGGTAGAATGTGATAGCTAAAGCCAGGGTGCTGACAACTCTGGCCGGCAGCCTCAGTCTGGTATATCACATGCTACTGTATGTCCAGTGAGCTAAAGGTGATTTTTGTATTTCAAAATGGATGAGAACCAAAATCAAAACAAGAATATGTCATCACATGTGAAGATAATATGAAATCTGAATTTGAATAAAGTTTTATTGGAACACAGCAAAGCTTACACATGTAGGTATTATCCAGTTACTTTAATGGTACAGCAGTTGACCTGATCAGTTGTGACAGATCCTATGGCCTGTGAGCCCTAAATCATTCATTATATGACCTTTTATAGAAAAAGTGTGTTGACCCTGTCCAATGCTGCCTTGGGGTTTCCAGGGGGGTTCCTGGAGAGGTTACCTTATACAAAAAAGGACCCCCAAGGAATTAATAAAAGGGTCTAAAGAGGGACTGGGGCTGTAACTCAGTGCCAGAGCACTTGTCTAGCATGCTCAAGGTTCTGAGTTCTATTCCCAGCACTATAGCAAAAATAAATAAATAAAGGAAGGAAGGAGTTGTCTAAAGAGATTAGTAAGTGCAAGAGGACAGGTCTTATTCCAACCCCACCTCTGTACCAACAAAGGAAACCAATGAAAGAACACTACCTGCAGAGGACCTCAGTTTCCTAGAAAATGTAAATGAGTAGCCACTGCTGACCTTTTTACTCACCAAGTTAGCAAAGAGGATAATACAAGGAGGCCAGTTGTGAGCCCTTCTCTGCCTCTCCCAGTCCAAGGACTCCCATGTTTCCTGCCTTCCTCCCTGTCCACCCACTGCATGCCTGGTTGGCCCCATGTGGCTTACAATGCTTTGGGGGAGGCATATTAATGTCCACAGCACATATCAAACTCTGCTTGATTTAATCCCTAGCATTGACCAGTGTATTGATTGTTTAAATGCCAATATTGCAATTCACGACAATGTCAGGGTTATTATAGTAACCCCCAAGGAAAGGAGGAAGCTAGCTTTCATTCTCTGATCGTTAGAATAAAGTAGGGGCTGTCACCATTATTGGTTTCCCTCTGCAACAGACAGAGAAACCTGAGACACAAGCTGTAAGAAATGCCTAATAAACTGTGAACAAAGAGAACCCCCTCCCCTGGGGAGCTCACATTACCTACCACTGCTTCAGGAGAAGACCTGGAGCTGGTTATTGGGCTGCATGGAAGTATAGTGCTTGGGTACTGCAGGAAGAGAGTCCACCAGTCTGTGAAAGGCTATGATGGGATTCCTAATTACTTTTAATTGTCCAGCTCATCTGGGAAGCTAGCTGCCCTCAACAAGCCAAAGGATTACAAACTGGATCCTGGATAGAAGCTAGAAATATAGAATATGGAGGTGAGCTAGGTGTCAGCATGCAGAATGATCCAGGCACAGATGCTGACCCCATGAGCTTAGATCTGGGATCAAAATAATGATTTTCAAATGTGCTGTAGCAACATCAACTGAAAAACTTTCTAAAAATCCACATCCCTGGACCTCAGCCCTGGAGAATCTGATGCTGCCAAGCTTAAGCTCCACTAGAGGAACTACTCATGTGGTTCTCTGTGCATCCTGTATTCTTCCTGCATTCTTCAATGCCCAACGCAAAGCCTCCATAGCCTTAAACTCCTTCCAAGCCCAATCATGGCCTTCCTGGCCACTTAAACACATATGGTGTTTCTCTTATAGTTTTGAATGGCATTTTGTGCCTGATATCACTCAGGTTAAATAGGTTGTTCTGATTATATGATCTTCTCTCTAATGAGATGATCATTTCCTCAAGATTGTGACCATCTCATATATATTTTATCTCCAAAGTCATTTGTGTCCTACACCCAATGAGTAAATACCACCATAAAGCACCTTCACATAGGTGGCCCTTCAGTTATTCTCATCTACTTCAGGGTTACTTTAGAGAAGGCTCCTTTGATCACACTGTCTAAACAGTACTTCTAAGTCCATTTATAGCCCAGGATCTTGCTTTATTGTCTTCATAGCACTTTATTAACATCTGAAATAATATCATGCACTTGTTTGCCTATTTGGTGGTCTTCTCTTTGCCCCACTAGAATACAAGCTCTATATATTATAACTTCAGAAAAAGAAAGTGCTCAATACATAATAGGCTTGCTATAAATGTTCTGCTAAGTGGTGTTATTTTTCAAATAAACTCATCTCCCTCAACTCTTTTTCTTGAGTAGGGGATGTTGATCAGATGTCAGTTAACATAGAGTGCTTAGAAAAATCTAGGCAAATTATTAAAACCCTGAATTCCAGATTGAGCATCCAGCCTAGGATTTGCTTCAGGTGGGTAACACCAGGCTGACTTTAGACCAGCAAGGTAAAGTGTGGTGGAGACAGCACCAGACAGTAAATGCACAAGCAGCTTTGTGGTTAGAGCCATTTTCTCCTGGTGACCTACACAATGGCTGTTTACTGAGAATTTTGACTTTCGTGCTTTGGCACCTCCAAGACAGCCTCTAGTGTGAAGTTGTATTGGCTCTTACTGCTCGCTTATAATTAAGTTGAGAAAACACACACTAGACAAAACACAGGAAAAATCTACTGAATTAGAGCCCACAGCCATTCTGAGGACCTAGAATAGTCCTGTGAAGAAAAGTTGGCCCTGACATCAGAAATGACAGGATTTTTTTTTTTTTTTTTTTTTGTCTGACAAAGGAGGGGACCCACAGCAATCCAGGGATTAGCGGCACTGGGAGGAAAGAACCTCTCTGTCTGACCTTCTTGTTATTAAACCATTTTTCATGGATTAGCAAGACAATAAACTCTAGGAAAGCCAATGTGGGCATTTAAACCTAAAGCTATTAATAAGGCAAATGCCAAGAGTAGAATGGATGGCTATCTATGCTGACAATCTGGGCCAGAACAGAAGCAGCCCACTCTTGCTATGGAAGTGCTCATGAGCCAACCATGAAGCAGGACTCTGAGCCCAGCCTCCCCAAGGTGGACCATGGTTCTGCACTGTCACCAGCAAATGTACTTGCCCATGTGCATCAATTGCAAAGCGTTTTATCTCCAAGGGTATAAACATGGTTGTGAACAATAACCACACGGGCAAGATTCAGATCTATTATGGCATTTAAAAATAATAATGATAATAACAGATAGAACAACAGGTCACTTTGTACAGTCATATGTCATCTTCATGACCCTCTGAGTTAGGGTCATTCTTACCTCATCTTCTTACAGATGAGAAAACTGAAGTGCAGAGAGCCATGTGACTTGCCCTGAGCCAGGTAGCTACTAGATGGCACAGGCAGCCTCTGACCTCAGAAATGATGCACATCTTGCCTCCAATGATACCTTGCCCTCAGCACATGATCACCACTATTATAATGAGCTAATAAATATTCAAAGACTGAAGAGTCCTGCTCTTGCTTGTGTTCTGATTAGTGGTCTAGCTGCTTCACTCTCTGCTTGGAATTGGACTCATCGAAACTCATTAAGACCAGCGACTGTGTCATTCTATTATCTGGTTAGAAGGAGCTCATTCCCTATTAAGTATAGTACCAAGCAGATGTGATGACCTGGGTTTCACAGTCCCTCACTCACCAGGATGACTTTCTCGATCTCCTTGGGTGCGCACCAGTGAAACATCCCTGTAGAGTCATACTTCTTCACGTTGGAGTCCATGTTGTCAATCTGATCATTGCCAGGAATTAACAAGGGGTCATGCCTGGGGAGAAAAGGACAGGAAAACCTAAGTGGAAAGGGTGATAAATTATAAATGGAGAGTGTCCCCTGAGTTACATCTCAGAGGAGATAAAAGATGCGGAGGAAGTGGTTGTCACTGACAGCCATCCTCTTGCGGGCAGAACCTGTCCCTTGAAAGACAACTGCCTCAAATCACCACCACCCATCTCAAAGTGCAGTCAGGTGACAATTCCGTCTTTCTCCTGCACCTCGATTCTTAAATAAGTTTCAGGCCATTTTGTGGACTTGGCTACCCTTTCTAGGGCCACTGCACCCCTCATTCTTTCTTTTTACCAGCTATAAATTTCCCCAGCATGTGCACCCCCACCTGCACCCCAAAGGGTTGCTATTAGCATCGGCAATGAAGAGGAAGGAATAGGAATAGAGCCTCATGCTGACTGACTGGCATGAGGATGGAAAGCCAATTACTTGCTCTTTCTGACTACAACTTCTGACGTGATGCTCTTCGCAGTAAAAGCTTTAACAGGCTGCACTTTAAATATTTTAGCAATTTGCCCAATCAGATTTTGCTCTCTCCGGCTGAAGCCCTTTAAAGATTCAGCAGCATGTCACTTCAGAGCAGATTGACTACCAAATGCCCACATCTGGAATACATGATTTCAATACTAAACAACACCCTCGCTCCATGCCTTGACAACTGTATTTGCACTCACTGTCCAATGATGGTCCCCACCCCCACCCCCACCTCTTCTTCCCAGTGCAGCATCCCTTGGATGAATGCCTCAAGCTAAGGTGCATTGTAATGAACTTGTTTCAGATTCTCAGGGCTCCATTCACCCTCTCTTCCCTAGTTTGCAGAAAGAAAAGGGGAATCTTCCTACAGAGGCTGCCCCTCCAGTGGGTTGCCAGAGCCTCCTTGACAACGTTAAGAATTACAGGAAAATCAGGCAGTGGAGTAGGCTTGCAGCATGAGAAATAAGCCCCGCATCTTGGGTCCCAGTCCTTGCCCATGATTCTACTCTGATAGCAATTCAGCATCTCGGTGTGGAAATCATCATTGGTTTCTACAACACAGACCACATAGAATTAAGACACTGTCCTTTCAATGAAATTATCTTCTTGAGTCATATTATCCACCCAAGATTAAAATTTTTTAAATGTAAAATGATTTTGCCTTTAAAATTATCTATTTCAAGCATCAAAGGATAATCTTTATTCATATTTTAGTGTCTCTCTATTGGAAATCTCTGATTCTTTCTCATTAACATGTCTAGAATATAGAGATTGAGGCAGCAGTCTGTATCTGGTCCAAAGAACTGGCACAAAGCTCTTTAATACCTACCCACCCTGACCCTCCCAATATGCTTCTCATCCCCACATAAGATGCGAAAACCCTCTTACTATATTTACTAATTCCTGAGAATTTGCTTTTAGGCTACACTAAATGACAAATACCAAATGAGGCAGTCCTACAAGCTATGTTCAACGAACATGCTAGATGACTACAGCAACTGTCATATCCAATCTTCCAAGGAGTGGAACAATCCAATTCAGAGGAGCATCTCAATGGCCAGGTTGTTGGGAGGTCTTGAGGTGTTGTAAACAACTGCTTTTCAAACTGAGCTGAGTAAAAAATGCTAAAATAAAAAGGCAGTTGCTGATAAGGACTGATCACAGATCAGGTTGAAAACAAAATCTGAGGGTTTTTCATTTTATCCTTGAAGAATCTTTAATAGTGCCATTTGTGTCAGGTTATGGGACAGGCAGGTAGAGAGCAGCTCCCCCAGAGAAGAGGGTGGAGAAAATGAACCCTTCCCAAAGCTTGAAGAATAGATTCCAGTTACAAGAGAATCTTAATAAGCTTGCCTCAAAGATAAAGTACCGGGTTCAAATTATTTTGCCCTACTTATTGGCTGGGTAGAAAGTATTATCTTAAGAAGGTGTGAGACCTGCCCCAGTACATTCATGGTTTGAGAGATACCTGGACTAGGTTCATATGATATCAGTAATAAAGACAATGATACAGAAAGTGAACAAAAATTTCTTTCCAAAAATAGATTCCTTAGGAGAGAGGAGATGCATTTTTGTTTGGTTCAATTGGTTCTTTCTAGAAAGGAGTCATTCCTTGGTGACAGTGGCCTGTAACCTTCATCTTAGAAAAGTAGTGAGAAAAACCTGACAGTTGATTGACTCTCATGAGAGGACAAAAAGACAATGAATGCCAAGCTTCATTAGCTGGGGTGGAGGTTTGGGGGAACCAGGTAAAATTTGACATTACAGGGCTACAAGCCACAATTTGCACTGGAACATCCAGAAGCATCCAGTAAGTCACAGAGGTACTCTAGGCTGCAATCTATCCTCCCTGCCAATCTCTCAGCCTGACCTGGATACTTTAAATATACATCATCCAGGATTTCCCCCAGTGGACTTGATCTGAGAAACATCAAAAAACTCCCTGAACATAGATATTTCCTTTTCACACCAGCCATAGCACCTGGAATTCTAACTTTGTTTTCTTTAATCAGCAAAGTAATCAATAAACATGAATCCCCTATTCTGAGCCAGGAATGGAAGATGCAGTAAGGGTTAAGACAGAGGCCCTAGTCAAAGGCGGGTTCACAATACTGCAAGAGAAAAAAGACATAAATCAAAAATTATGATATGCGGTGGCAAGTTCTATCACAAAGTAACCTCCAAGATATGACAGTGTCAAGAAAGAAGCTGTTTGTTACCTGGTTTTTGAGAAGCATCAAGGAAGGTTTCTCGAAGAAGGTAGCATTTGATCTGAGCCTTGAAAGGTGAGGAGGAAACTCTGCATACTTTGGTGTTGATCTACCAGTAGCTGTTAGGAATAGGGTTAGATATTGCCTAACCTAAGGAATAAAAGACTCAGGTATATCAAATTAGAAATCTTTCAAAGGTGAAATGATTTGTTTCCCAAGCAAGTGGGTTTTCTGTCATTTGAGATGTTGCAGAAGAGCTAGGGATATCGTGGGCATTTAATTACAAACGTTGGGTGAGCCTAGAAGATCTTTCAAGTCTGAAGCAGTGTGCTCTTGTTGGGCAGAGAAATAGAAGGATTTTGCACATATTGGACCACTGCCGAGCAGCAAAAGACCAGAAGGCACTGACTAGGTGATGAAAGGTTGTTGGAATGAAGATGTGCAATAAGATGCATTGAAGATTGTTTGCTTTATAGTTCCATAAAAGGCCAGTAATGCCCTACATTCATTGGATTCCTCTTTCTGGGAGGGAGCTTGGAAAGTGGTTTGTTCCAGCCATATAAGAATCCGTGATTACTTAGGGCCAAGCAGGATATGTTTCTTTACCATGTCTGTTCCTGTAGTAACTACAAGTGCCTTACATTGACTTATGCTACAGAGAGATCCCTAGCATAGGTGGGGACTAAAGAGTCAGTTGTCTCCAGGGATTTCTGCTTCTGAATCAAGGATTCTGGAGTTTATATTCACAGAAGAAAGCCCAAGCATTTGCCATTCTGCATACCAACTAATGTTGCTGTGGTCGGGGGAGGCCAGGAGGAATCAGGCAGTTGCTGCACATGGGAAGAAGGATCACAGACCTCTGAATGAGGCATTCCAATATCTATGGGTCCCAGGATGCCAAGGAGAAACACTTTCAGAGACTACCAGGCAAATCCCCCAAGACTACTTGGTTGCAACTGAGGACCAATACTAGATATTGCCTTTCACGTCATAATAAAACTTTATTTCTTCAACTCACATAGTAATCCCCAACTCCTCTAAAATGTACCATAAGTAATTCGTAACTCATTTGTCACTTTTGACTTCTCCAAAGTGCTGCCTTATTTTAGAATAATAGAAATTCTCTAAAGCGAGTTATAGCTGCCTCATCATTATTATGGGCTGAATTGTGTCCTCTGCCACAATTTGTAAGTTGAAGTTTTAACTCTCAGGACCCCAGAATGTGATTGTGTACTGCAATCTGATCTTGAAAAAGTAAGAGGAGGTCAGTGAGGTGGGCCAATATGATCAGTGTCCTTTTAAAAAGAGGGACTTTGGACAGACATGTACAGAGGAAAGGTCATGTAAAGGTATGGGGAGAAGATAGAGCTCTACAAGTCAAAGAGAAAGGCCTGGGACAGAGCCTTCCCTCATGAACCTCAGAAGAATCAACCCTGCAAAGACCTTGACCTTGGGATTCCAGCCTCCAGAAATGTGAAAAAGTTAATTCCTATTGTTTAAAACAGTAGGTCTGTGGTACTTTGTTACAGCATTCCCAGAAAATTAACACAATTTTCTACTTTGCAGAAAAATAGACACCATATACCAGTTAGCCCTCGGATGATGGTTCCTGTAGCCCTTCTTAACCTCAGGTCCTACTTGTTCATGTACGGGAGAAACACATACTACCATCATTTTAGGAATGCATGAAATAATGTCAGAGATACACAGTATCTTCCTTAAAGAGTTTGGACAATGTCCCTGCCCTCCCCAGCAGTGTCCTTAAGCCCCAACTTATGTACATAATTGATTCAATTTGAAGATTACATGAGTAAAGACAGGTCATGCATGTAGCATAGAACTTGAAAGAGCATGTCTTAAAGAAGTAGGTATTAGGGCTGGGGTTGTGGCTCAGTGGTAAAGCACTTGCCTAGCATGTTTGAGGCACTGGGTTCAATTCTCAGGACTCCATATAAATAAATAAAAAATAAATAAAGGTCCATTGACAACTAAAAAATATTTTTTTAAAAGGTAGGTATTATTATTGTTGTTGTTGATACTATTATTTATATTTAGCTGATGACTCATTCATGTATTTATAGTTCTGACTGGTGAAAGGAATCAAGCAAAATAGAGAAGTTCAGTAATTAAGATATAGAGTTCCTACTATGACTTCTGGCTGCTACCATGGCTAGTATGATAAAGAGAAACCATGAGTTGAACCCTGACAAATGTTGCTGTGCTAAAACTTACATTTTGTAATTTGCTTTTCCAGTAACAGTGTAGACAATTTCTGTTATTATCTACCCATGTATATGGA